GTACAAGTGAGACTTTGTGACATCGTCACCGGTCAGGAAGCTGATCTTGGTCCAAAATGCACCGGACAGCAGTGAAATGTGAAAGCCTCCACGGCGCTTCATATGCTGAGAACGGACTGGTCACGTCCAGCCACATATTCTTGATTCATCGAAGAGAGGGAAGCTGTACATGTGATTACACGAGAACTGTCAAAGTAAAATACTTTGATATGTCCTAATAGGTGTGTGGAGAAGATCTTCCATCCATCTGCAAACCGCTTATCCTGCACACGGGGTCGCAGGGGGGCAGGAGTCCATCCCAGCCAACTTCAGGCGATAGACAATGGACTGGTCACCAGCCAATCGCAGGGCTACACAGTGACACACAACCATTCACACACCTACGGGCAAGTTAGAGTCCCCAATCAACCTGATCCCCAGAGCACGTCTCTGGACTGTGGGAGGAAGCCAGAGAACCCACGCAGACACAGGGAGAACATGCAGACTGCACACAGAAAGGCCACTGGGCGGAGTGGAACCCAGGACCTTCTTGCTGTGAAGCAACGGTGCTGACCACCCTGCCATATTGACGTATTGGTATGTATTGTTAATTGTGTAATATGACCCTGTGCGTGTGTCCTCGTCCTTCTTTTTGCTCCTTTAAAGTGACGTAAGTGGAGTTTATTGAAACTTTGTCGCAGTGTTTCAGGGTATTTATGTAGTTTTGGTCCTGATTCAGAATGAATATGATACAGTGTTGCAGTGATGAGTTGCTCCTTTGTTCGGTCTGTGTTCACACTGCAACATCTAACAGCGGAATAAATAAACATCACGTGTGAGCAAACTGTGGTGTCATTTGAATGCAGCTATAAATATACTTTTTCTCTTTGAGTGTGGGGGACTGGGGGGGGCACGAACCCAGTTGGGATGCAGAAGGGGTGCGTGGCCCAAACAGCCTGGGAGATTATTTTATAAGTATCTATGTATGTTGTTTGTTTTGTACTTTTCATTATTTCTATATATTCTGGTATTTGTGTCTAGTCTCAAACCTTTAGAAACAAATCTTAATGTCCCAGTATAATAAAAAATCACTACATATTACCTACATGTATTACTCGTTTTGGTGTGGTCAGCACGTTACGTGCAGAAAAGCGCCCCTAGACCACGTGCCTTTTTCGTCTCTCGTTTGATGCGCGCGTGGGGGCGCGCGTGGGGGCGCGCGTGGCACGTTCCTCCTGCTGTCCCCGTGGTTAGGGGGCGTCCGCCTCAAAGGAATCCGCTGCGCTCCTTCCATTCGCTGAAACTATAGGTGTGTCGGGGGGTGTGCGCCTTTCTCGCGCCTCCAGCTGTCAGTCATGACGTCACTTCCTGCGGGTGTGAACTCATGGCTCTGCTTTGTATGGACATGGTGGGGGATTTATGACAGCGGCAGCGCTGCTGGGAGACAAACAAGAACGGGTTTTTTGGGGGTCGGGCACTATTTTCTCTCCCCTCTCTCCCTCCGCGCTGCTGTCTCGATCCCACAGCGAGAGCTTCTCCACCCAAACCTGATTCTGGAGGACATGGAGGCTTCGGATTGGGCTTTCCCTCGTAAGGTAGATGTCTTCATTTGCACTTTCACCCCCTGCAGCAGCTGAGAGACCCCCTGTCAGCGGACGTTGTTCCGTGCGCAGAGATGGCAGCAGCCTGCAAACGGCGCACACTCAATTTTAGCGCGTGTCCAGTTTGAGAGCCCAACACACCCGCACGTGACTGTTGTTTGCAGGCGGAATCAGCATCTCCTTCCCGACCACACGACTCATGTGACTTCGGTTTGCAGCCTGCGCAGCGCATCGATAGGCAACACCAACACCTCTGCTCACCCGCCACGGAGGTCCTGCCTCGGGGGCCTCAGGTCAGCATAGGGACAGCATAGGGACAGCATAGGGACAGCAATGTCCAAAGGTCAAGGCAGTTAATGCGAGACGTTGTTTGTGTCAGTTCTGCGCTCCAATGGAAGCACCTGCATGAGTGTAAATATTGTTACCGAGGAGTTTGGAGGGTGTCGTCTAGTTTGAAAAGTTAGATTTGAGGCACACAGACCGTATTGGGGGAGGACAGACAGTGAATGTCATGCAGCAAAGATGGGTTTGAACCAAACGTCAAGGGCAGGTTTAAAAACGATAGGATTCATGCTTTCTTGTCGCCAGTGGCCGTGTGCCTTTGCAGAAGGAAGTCTGTACTGTGACGTTTTACATGGACGAATGCGCAGTTAATGTGCGGCTGCAGGTGCTGTCACTCCTGAAGCGTCTCTGTCTCTCTGTCTCTCTCTCGGTGACTCCTTCTCCCGTTGGGTGTGATCATTCATAGCTAACAGAAGTGTCAAAAGAACTCTGCTGCTTAACTATTCATTCATGATTTCCTCTCTATAACTGGCGGTGCTTTCTCCACAGGCAGAAACACATCCTCACATTTCGAATACTCCGTTCGGGGGATCGGGTGAATACTGTGCGGCATTCTGCAGCTCAGCGGCTCCATCAGAACAACCTCACAGAGTGTATTTCTTAACACCTTTGTTCTGTTAAAGGGAAACATGAGCTGAATCCTGCTGTACCTGTCGTGTTCTCCTTAAGCAATGCTGGAATGTGGCCTCTGATGAGCGGCAGGATCGTACGACTTAACTTTAAGGTTTAGGTTTAACACTTTTAAAACCAGACATAGAATGCGTTTACAGAGTAAAGAACCCTAACCAACATCTGACTCTGCCTTCCGCTCTTACTTTGATTGTTAGATGACATTGGGACGGCGCGATGGCTGAAGTGCTTGAAGATACGGTTGATTGTCATTGTATTCAACACTTGAATGCTCTCCCGTGAGCGAGATCCTGGTTGGACCTTCTATTCGGAGGTATACGGACACTGGTATTGGATTGGCACTCGTACCAGAGGACACCCAAAGAGACAGTTACATCGGAACTGAAAAAGTCTGATCAGTGACTCCCTAGTTGAAGGTTTGCTGATGTTTCAAAATGCACACGGTCAAACGAGACTTGTGGTAATCGATCTCTTTGCTGAGCTGAGAGTCTGAAGATGATCTGAAGACGGATGCTCCGTCCGTCTGTCCCCTTCTTAAAACGGAGTTCCAGCGGGGCCCTCGGACCCCTGGGCTCTTACACGAGAGCCCCCCTGAAAGCCAGGGTCCACTTTGTGTTTCAATCGACCCGGGGATCGAAGGTCTTCACTCCCTTATCATTCCGCTGAGTAGGACTGCAGATCCATTAATGATCGCGGAGTGTTTGGCGAAGCGAACGTGTTTATCTGCGTTGTCCCAGTCGAGCGTATTGAAAAGTTGAGTATATTTATTTTTCCTCTTTGACTTGATAATAAATCATAAAGAGATGTAATCAAATCCAGACATTAAATCACGTCATTTGAAGAACATTTAATACCCTTTGACAGGGTTCCCCGAACATATTGGTTATACATTTCCTCTGTGGTTAGCGAGGATTTAGATCCCTCTGCTTTTATTACACTCTTTTTTTCTCTTTTCCAAAGGTGTGGTGCTTCTTCCAGCGCTTGTAATTTATCGCCAACCTTCCGTATGTAATCAGAGGGACACAATGCCTTTCAGATACCCTTATCTCTCGTGCACAGTGCATGAATGTCTTCAGAACCAAACTGTTCTCTAACAAGTGGTTGTATTTTCGATGGGAGGTTTTCTCTTCTTTACGAATTTGAAACCTGTTCCAGACACTGTTTGCGGATCAGAGAGGCATTTAGTTAAAGTGAAAGAAGCCACTCCTTCATTCAGGACATCAAGGTCCCTCGATAGGCCCAGCGGGGGCGTCCTGCTGAAAGTTCAACTTGGCTAAACGTGTATCCTGCCAAGCTTTCAATCAACAACATGCAAACAAGCGTTCTATTGTTTGCGTTGGAGGATAAATCTTCATTTTTTTGCCTGTTGCATTTTCCTCCAGCTGACCGGTGTTTTGGTGCCTGATAAGCCTTCAGACTCATCATGTCGTATTTAACCTGCACTTGCCTGGAGCAAATCCCCCCGTCTCCGTTGGCATATGGAGTAAAACCCCCCCACAGAGGCATTTTTTCACACCGTGCTACTTTCAGTGTTGCGTGGCTGTTGTCGACACGCCTTTTGCTCTGCTTGTTTTGCAACCTTCGTCCTCCAACGGCCAGCTTTCCCTTCATCGGAGCAGGCCTTCTCCTCTGCCTATCCTTCAGGTAAAGTCCCTCAGGGTTGATTAGGATTGAGCCCCCCCCCCCTATCCAGATTTAGAGTAAGCAGCTCTGCCAGGGAGACAAAATGTTTTTCTCACCACAACTTGTTTGACCTCCGGTCTCGGGTCACATACCTTGCTTGTTTACCAAGACCCACCCACCAATTGTTGGAAGATTAACTTTAGTTGAGGCAATGTGGTCTGATCCTTATCCTGATCCTCATCAGGCCGTTGCCTGTAGAAATCCTCACCAATGACCTCCGCCTGGTCTTATCTGCTGCTCTCCCTCTAATTGTATTAGCGAGGAAGCTCCACTCGCTCCACTCAAACACCCACATTTCATCCCAATTTCCCTCCAGGCCTTTTCTGTGCCCAAAGCGTTTTAGGCCTCGCACCCCCTTCTACACCCCGACCTCGTTCATGCCCCCCCAGCCCCCCCCAACAAAAGAAACAGAGCTGCAATAGAATTGGACCAATGAAAGAGCAGTTTGTTGGTATGGTTATCTAATATTTAGATGGCTGTTGTATCATCTTAATCCTGAATCGGAACAAACAAACAAACTACAGGTGTGAAAATGCCCTGAAACACTGCGACAACCTTTCAATAATTTCCACGCACGTCACTTTTAAACAGCAATAAGGACGACTAGGCCACGTGCACAGGCTCCGAGGCAGACTGTCCGCTGCACTAACAAGTGTACGGAAAAAGAGGAGCTCGAGTGCATTTATTTATTAAATTGTAGTTTTTTTTTTTTTTAATAATTCATGTTGTTATTTTTTTTATATATATATATTTATTGTTCATTTTGACAGAGACCACCATTCCATTTTTCCTCTCGCTCTTTCATTCACTTTGGGAATCCCTGCTTTAGCGGAGCAGAGGTCGTGGACAATGCTTGTTAACGTGACCGGCCAAAGACGGTTCGGAGGGAGATTTCTAGCTAAGTATTGTATATCGGAGCTGTGTGTGTGTATGAATTGGAGGAATAAGCCCTTGCTAATCCAACGGCCGGTTGCAGCTTCTGGTCACTCGCTGCATGAAGGAAGCCAGAAGAACGTTCTGTTTTTTGGGGATCTCACCACAGTAGCAAATTGGTTTTGTTCTACCACCAGGCCTGTGGGCTTCATGCCTCCCCAAAAATCCGTAGGCTGGTTTGGCAGGCAGAAAGGGGGAACTCGGGGCCGCAGTATCATCCTGGAAAATGGAATCGTATTCACCCAACTGCCTGATTTCTGCACTCTGGCACTTCCCATCATGTTGTATTTCAGTGATGCAGGTATTACTATCATCTTTCTTTTGGGAGGATTGTAGTGTGCAAAGATGAAGGCAGCGTAGTCTGGGACCTTATTAAAGCAGACGCCACTAGTGATTATTTGTCTCTGATCAATCTGTGGAATATTGTAATGATCAACTGTTGATGAGAAAAACTGTCCACCATAAATTGACAGATCTGAAAATGACGTCTTTTTTTTGTTGGTCTCTCAGTAATCCAAAACCCAAATGTATCAACCACACTACAGTATTGATGTATGGTCAGCAGAACGTACGCAATTGACTCATCATGTCAGCCTCTGACTGCAGGGTAAGGTTTCTCTCAGCTATTCCTGTACATCAGTTAGCATCACGCCCAGCATTTCAAAACCCACGTGCACTGTCCTCTTGGATCGAGCTGCAGAATGCACAATGTTTTGTATTTCTTGGCAGCACTGAGCTCGAGGTGATCAGTCAACGTTTGCACATTACAGACTTTTATTTCGCAGAGCACAATTACAAATTATTCAACCTTGTCTGTCTTTATCTTCAAGCCCAGAAACGTGATAAATTCTACTCTTTGCATTGCAGGCCTTGCACATACGTTCTGCATATAAAGCTGTATCCATTCATAACATCAGAGGAAAATGCTACATTTTATAATCCATCCAGCCTCCTGCCTATCAGGACGTGAATCCGGGAGGGGAGGAAATCACCTTTTAATTACGCTGATCAAACCAGTTCCACAATGCAATCGATCAGAAAAAAGGGAAGCGTTAGGGCGACTCGTGCAGCCCTTCATGGTGATTTTGGCCCAGCTTGATTTACACAAGAGCTGCTTGCTGTCTCGTCATTCCCAGCTCTACATCTGTGAAGGGATAACAGCTGCTGAAGCAGAGCTCGTCTCTTTCCCCCCTCTGATATTCACAGTTCAGATGTGCTCGAGGGAGATTTGTAACGCTGGCCTGCTTGATCCTGATCATGAAATCAAGCACACAAAGGTTCTTGGCCTCAGAACGGAGGTGTTGCTTAAGGACAGTGTTGTAAGCAATGGGTGATTATTGGCTGCTGGCAACGCTGGCGTTGGTTCAGCTGAAAATACATCAGACACGCCGGGAAGCGCGTCTGCAGGTCAAGGTCTCACAGCAGCTGTGTCATTTCTCCACGTCACCTCACTTTTTGCTTACACTTCAGCCTTCGTCAAAATGAGAGAACACAGACGAGTATTTCATGAGCAGTGATCCAATAACCTTCTCAGACAAACGTGTACCATGCAATGAGGTTTACTGCAAATCGCTCAATGCTGCACAACTCAACGTACTGTGTGACGTATACTGATGGTATACAAATGCTTAATGTTTCTGTTCATATAAATCATGTCAACATGTGGTGTTTTCGGGTGCGATTGTATAGGGGCCCTCAAATATTTAATTATTATTTTGACAATGAACACGCTGTCAATGTGGAGGTCAGAGTCCTCTGGGACTTATGCAACTTACTGTTTATTTCTCAACCTGATGCAGCAGTGGGACATTAATATGGTCAAAGCCAGATGAAGTGCTCATCTTGAGTAACACTCATAAAAATCACAAGAAACAGAATAGTTGAGAAAACATGCAAATATCCTCCATGAATAGAATAGATCAGAATAGCCAACGTTGATGGATTTAGCAGCTTTTTGATATTAATGTACACAAATGAGCGGAAACCAATGGATGTTTTTTAATACGAGTGCCACAATCATTTAAAGTATTTTTAACTTCTATTAAGGAACTTTGCAAACAATAGTCTGAACCCGCCCAGGTCTAAAAATGGCAGACGAATGACAAGTGACCTGAACGCATACCGATTGAACTGCTGGCCATCCCGCGGCTCATCTGGCACAGCTAAAGTCCAACGTCAATCCCTTCCCCCGTACTTTGGTCAATCCCCATAGTGATAAGAGGGCGCCGGCCAGCATATCGGCCCCCGGGTGATAAGAGGGGAGTTGGGTGTTTACACTGCGGGCACGGCGCGGACTGAGCTCATCGAGTGAACTCCTCAAACAAATGGACAGGCGGAGCTGGCGCGTCGGCCTCATCAGCCCATACCGCTCTGCTCTGAGACCACCGCCAAGCCCCCTCTGACCGACCTGCAAGCACTCGCACCACAGGGTGGGTTCATTAAACATTAACATGCGGCCTGCTATCTCTCTCTGAATGCTCACACAAACTGTTGTATTGTCAGGGATCAAAGTTGCATAGAAGACCAGTTGTTGGATAAGCTTGTGGTCTTATTTGGTTTGCATGTATTTTCTACATACCAGCAGTATTTGAAATCACACAAGGCGGTACTGCAGACAAATTCTCTCTACGCTCGTTGCCGAGGTATGTTCCCGTGTCGTTGGAAGGACTGTGATGTTTTCATTCTTAATGCTTTTTTTTCTCCACGCCTTGGCGAGACAAGCCCATACGCACCTCCTATGTGCTGGTCCGCTCCCAGCTTTGCTGTTTGTTGTCCTCGCCAAAGCGTGGAGTTCTACTGGAAAGCCCGGAGACGCCGTTAGTCGTGCAGGCTGCGGGCTCGTCTCTTTCTGTTGTCCGCCTGTGTGGCTGTGGAGATGCCACTGGATCAGATGTCACTCCCGAGTCTCGACGCAAGTGCAAGTGATTGCAAGTGATCACTCAGACCCTGTTGTCTAACTTGGTTTCCTGTTGGGCGAGCAGCATGCGTTCTACATGCCCGGCTGTCGTTCATTTGCTTGTTTATCCGTCTCAGTCGGAGCTCACCAGCTGCTGCACGGCCCGTCTCTCTATGATGGGGGTCTTCACTGCAGCGACTATGCAGAAATCCGTCCCCTCATGCGTCCCGCCCTGTGATTGCTGGTGCAGGCTTGGTAGCGTATACGTCTCTGATTGATTCCAATGGTATTAGCTTGTAGCTGTCCTCACATGGCTGCCGTCCGCCCTCTGACTGTGATGTCAAAATCTCTGCGTCGGGGCATTGCCATGGCGACCACGGTGGCCTTTGGTCAGTGGTCTTTGTCAGAGTAACCCCCCCCACTCCCCCTGTCTTCCCTTTCCTTTTGCACCTCTTATCTTAACCCACACGAACCCATGTGACCTTGTTCATTTTCCTCTCAGTGTGGGCAGTCTTTTTTTTGAGTGAGCACAAGAGAGGGCTCGACCTAAAAGACAAAGGCTCGTTGTTACCATAGCAACCAGGGTTCCCCCCCCCCCCCCCCCCTCTCTCTCTCTCTCTCTTGCACATCCCTGATAAAGCCCCTGTAATGTAGTGTAACTGACATTCCTCTCCACCCCACCACGTCTCTCTGTCTGCAGTCTGTAACTAAGCAGCTTCATGTGTCTGCTGTACATTGGCAGGTGTTGATGGCAACACAACTTTAGCTTGCTCCAAATTAAAGGACTTGTCATGTATTTCAAGCGTTTCTTGGTAGTCCGTATACTTAAACATACCTAATGTTTCTCCAAGGTTAACAGGGTGTAAACCCAGAGCGCGCAGGTCAGCCTCTTTTTTCCCCCTCGAAGCGACGCTATGATGAGACAACGCTGAGTGAAGTGAGTGTATAAAACAGGATGTCCTCTAAAAGGAAGACCTGAGGGTCAGGAGCTAGAGGCTGAATGCTAAAGAGGAGCTAACACTGCCTCCATTCAGATCCGTGTATTGAAGAGTGAGGAGCTCAGTGAAGCGGCCCGCTCACATGGTTTCTTTTCTGTTCAGTGGGAATCCTTAACTATTCCATTCAGTTCAGTTCCTGTGTGGTTCTTCATATTAACACTTCATTCGTTGCTTTGGCAGATCAGACATGTTACCATGACGTTCTCTTTTGTTTTTGTTGCTTTTGCACATATCACAGCTGTTTCAGACAATGTGGTCTAAAGATATTTTAGCCTGGAAGTATAGGGACCTTCCCATAGAAGGCTTAATAAGAGTTGATAAGAGATTTGGAGCATCGTGACAGCTGGGAGTTGAACCAGCGCTACCAGCTATGGCATCAATGATGCAATATTATAACCGGAGTGGAAATCTAGGCTGGATGGGTGTGCTGTTCTTCCGCAACCATGACACAAGCTCAGTGCAGAGCGGCGGCCGCTGACCAGTCGGTGGAGCACTTTCACTTGGGCGAACATGCACTAGAAGACACGCAACAAAGCATGACGGAGCTCTGATTGACACACAGGGGAGGCCATCACTACGCTGCACATAGAACCAGGCTTTATCTGCTTCGGTTTGCTCTCTACACGCTGGGCGAGAGAGACGCGAATGGTCTTTACATTCCGTTGCTTCTTTAATTATTGTCATTAGATCTTTAAAATAGCCCTGGGGGGGGCAGAAACGTTCAGGTATGCGGCCTCACAGTGGTGAGGGGTAAGATAATAGTGAACAGGCCTCCAGTGGTAAAGGTGTGGAAGGGCGAAGCACCAGCAGCAGCTGCTGTGTTGTAGCCGTAGAGCCGCCGATGTTCTTACTGGGGATTGATGGGAAGGGCTTACTGAAGATCGACCCAGTTTACACGCTGGTGTATGAAGTCCTTATATGTAGTGTACGGTCCACACCCGGTGAGTTGTATGAATCTACTCTCGGAGGCGCTGTCTGTCGTGTCTGTTTCAGTCTGAACCAGTATGGTGACCTACATTCCTCCCATGTGTCCCCGTGGTTCACTCTCGCTCTTGTGTCTTTGTCTTTCTGCAGCACTATGAGTTTTACAAGGACACGCTTCATGAACAGAGGGGCCTGCGTTTTGTCATAAGATCCTCTGTGTCCTTCATTCCCTTCCTGACCCCTTTTAGCAACATGCTGCTTCTGTGAGTGTGTATGGTCGCACCACACACAGAGTTCATCATCAGTAATTATTGGGTTCACTGGAAAAAAGGCAACGTGTCTCTGTGGTAGTAATGGTGATTACAATGTCTATAGCCATGCAAGGCTTGGCTTTATGCATGGGAATCCTCAAGCCACCATTTTATTTTTTATGATTGCCAAAAGGATGGATCATGACAACTATGACGATCCGCTAACCTTTCCTCAAGATCAAGTGCAATATCTCCACCAGATGGTGTGTCCTGATGACTCCTTAGATCACTCTACTGTTTCTTTACCACCACAAGGAGGTCTTCATTTGTTGGGTGACATTTCAGGGCAGACATTGTAACCCCTTTGGTAATCCCCTGACTTTGCACCACCATCATTTGTCCAATAATTGAAACTTTGCTACAGACTTTGGGTTATTCAATTCAATTCAAAATGAAAAACTCCTTCATGGGGGAAAAAAGGGAAGAACCTCAGTGAGAACGTCAGAGGAGGATCCGTCTCCTGATGGACAGACTACAATGACGTCATGAGGACAGAATGAACAATGTAGAAGATGAACAGTGCATTAAATTCATATGACAGAGATGATTCAAATAAGCAGATGTACAGCAGGACCACTGCAGGGGCAACCACCATCAGATAGAACCACCATCACACAGAACCACCATCACACAGAACCACCATCACACAGAACCACCATCAGATAGAACCACCATCACACAGAACCACCATCACATAGACGCCTGTGTGGAGGGAGAGCACAGAGACTTGAGGAAAAGGTAATGTTGGTTTATGATGACAGTAATAGTAATGTGATTGATATTTAAAATAATAATAATGATGATAACAGCAGCAGGTGTCAGCAGGGATTTGGTAGGAGGCAGGAACAGGGTCCAGATCCATGTGCCGGATATTAGCACGTAAGCGTTGAAATCGTTACACATGTTAACAAGCCCTTATAAATTCAGGCAAAGGTGACCTCAGAAATGAATTCCCGCCGCGTCCTCCTCTGTCTGCTACGCCGTGCTTCCGGATCACCTCTTTGTCTTCACTTTCCTCCTCCACCCTCCCCCCCGTCCTCTCTCTCTCTCCCCAGTCTGATGAGTGAAGGTGCCCTCCGCCCACCCCAGGAACCGCGATGGTCGACATGGAGAGCCACTACCAGCCCCCCTCGCCCCTGGAGGACTCGGTGCTGGGCAGCCCCCTGTGTGGCGAGGACGAATTCATGGGTGAAATGGGCGAGCTCCAGGACATCTCCCAGTCCATGAACAGCACCGCCGCCAGGTGCTTTGACGGCCCCGAATACCAGTCCTCCAGCAACGGCTCGGAAGGTTCCGCTGTTCTAGGTGAAGTCTCTTCATCATTGAATCAAAATGATTTAATCATACTCATAATACATTTTATTTACATAGCGCTTTTCAAAGTACTCCAAGACGCTTTAAATGGATTATTTATAATATAGTGAAATAATCACATGGGGTCGGCTGCCATGCTGACATTTCACAGTTTCAAAGTGTAATCCGGGGCCTGCAATGGTAGACGCATGTGGAGCGCTGGTTCCTCAGTTCAACCTTGGCTTAATGTTCAGAGGTCAGATGCTTTGTCTAATTCAACCTCTTGCCATGCAGTACTGCAAAGCTGCTGTACAATCCTCTCACTGACCTCTGTTTACTCAGGTTGGGTGATCCACCCACTTTGTAATTCCTTGGATATAATTGATTTGTCCTTGCTTCTGATCTACGGCGTGTTAACGCCTTCTCTGCCAATTTGCCATCGCAATTTCTTCTTTGTTATTGATATTGTTTCTACATTTTCCTGACTTTCCCTTCACTTGTCCGGCTCTTCTCCTCGCACATCATCCAAAGAGGAACGCAGACATTCCTCAGTCGCCATGCGCCACCTCGGGAAACCTCCTCTTTGCCGCTGCGTTTTCATCTGAATAAAAGTCACAGGCTTCTGGTAAATGGTTGCTTGTACAAGAGAGTCTGAGAGGCAACATTGAATGGAAGAACAGAGGTTGTTTGGCATTTCTGTATCTTACCAACAGCGTGTTAGAAGAAACACGCTGTTGGAAAGAAGTGCGCCTGGAAGGAACACCACCGTTTCGTCCCCTGGTTGTCTTTGCTATTTATGTAGCGTGCACGTTCTGCCCAACCATGTGGCATTCACAGAGTGGAAATAGAAAACGGTTGGACCCTTGTGACCGGTCATCCCTGAGGGATAAGTGATAATGCTCCACCAGCGTTATGCTATAGGGCACGAGGTCAATCCGTACTTTAAGTTCCACTAATTCTTTGCCTGCGTCGGGTGCCATTCAGGCAAATTAAAATTTTTCCTTGATTTTAGCTAAAGACAATGACTGAACTTGCCCTATTGTGGGGACTAGGTCAACTTGTGGCCCGTCACCTAGCAGGATGGCTGCAGGCCTCCAGGAGTGCAGTCATCCAGTTATCTTCCCTGTCATTGGACAGAAAACGGTCATGCCAAATCTACTCTAAACATTTTAAGATACTGTCGTATCAGTATTTTTAGACCATTAAGACCATTTTCCCATCCACAATCCAGTTAAGTTAACCAGTAAATGTTTTCTGAACTCATGAGACAACGTATACGTATATGAGATGGTGTCACATGTGGAGTCAATAAGAATCATTACCACTGCTGATGGCTCCATTGAGAGAATATCTGTGCACAAAAAGAAGAAAACAGTCTCTAAAAGCTTAGAAAATACCAATAAGACCGTGTGATTGTGGTCTTAAGATGCGTTTGCTGGGCAACACGTCTAATCCCCCACGTGCTGGTGTGTTGCAGACGCCCTAACGCCGGCGTCCAGCCCGTCGTCGGCGGTTTACGGGTTGGCGCCGGGCCAGGAGGACTTGTCGTCGGCATCCTCTCCGCTCAATCTGGAGTGTCGAGTGTGTGCGGACCGCGCCTCGGGCTACCACTACGGAGTGCACGCCTGCGAGGGCTGCAAGGTGAGACGGCCGTCACACACACACGAATGATACACGCAGACCAGCGGTCTCTACACACGCCACTCTGGTGAAGACCGGACTAGCGTAAGGAGTGGTGAGTGATGAGGGCTTTTTAATGGACAGTTGTTGGAGGACATTATCGTTATGGTTGAATCTGAGGTCTCACAGTATCGTCTCACCCGGCATCGTGTTTTACTTGATGCTCTTTTCTGTCGATATCCATCAATCGCTTCCTCCCAAAGTCAACCCCACTGGAGCACAGACAAGCCAACAATCCCAAACAGGCTCCTGACTGTAAAGAAAGAACTATTTTAAAATGACAGGTAAAAAAAAGAAGACATGCCCGGTCAGAGATCCAGTTATCTTGTGACTGATAACTCGTACGCTCAGCCTTTACACGTGGCCGCTCAATATTCCTTCACTTAATTGTTTACCAGTCATGTTGAGAGCAACAGCAAGGCTGCTTTTTAGGAGGGAACGAAGGACAAAGCGGTGTGTGTGTGTGTGTGTGTGTGTGTGTGTGTGTGTTGTTAACCCTTTGTTGGTGTGGCGTTAATCTACATTCCTTTTGTATTTTTGTTCGCCGATGGTGAAAAACAATGAAACACGGTTCTTGCACTGTGGATCCACTCAGTGCAGCTAAAGAAAGAGCAGCGGCGGCAGTATGAATGTCAGGAAGTAATGAATAAACTGTCCACAGCTCCACCACGTCAACATGCTGTTACACAAACATTCACATGGGACCAGGAGCTGACTGAAGTGTGAGTCTGCAGCGGTGGAATGACAGTTTCATGCCATTTGCTGAGGTATTCACGCTGAACAAAGGCTCAGGTCTGTTCACAGGGCACCAATGTGACCTATGGAGGGTGAAACCCAACAGGTGTAAAACAAAAGTCAAAGTACATTTGTTGCATCCATCAGAAGTGACCTATGGAGTGCCGGGGGGGCCAAGCCACTTATTGCAACATTAGCTGGATAAATGAAGCCGGAACATTTCAAAGTCTATGTCAGAATTGTTTGTGTTTTGGCATTTTTAAAGCCTCTATTCCAAAATGAGAGACAGAAATGAGGAAATTGATAAATTATGTTTTAAAAAGTCATTATAGGTAAAACCAAAACCCTAAACCCCCCCAAAAAGGGTATATGCGTCACCTGGTCTGTCTGGATGAGATTCCTGTCTTTTTTTGTACGACTGATCAAAATCTCACACGTGAAATTACAAGAATTGATCTACTTTTGTCACAAGCTGTTCTTGCATGCTCACACGCGTAGATAGGGACCCTTTGCTTTGTGCGTCGCTTCTTTTATTTGATCATGGAACAGTAAGAGGAGGAGCTGTATCAGTACCAAGCCCACCTGGCCTGAACGTTGTGCCCCCCTTGTATTGTGTGTTTGTGTCAGGATGTATGGTCTGACTTTTGTAACTTTTATTTATTACATTTCAGGTATAATGTGCTTATTTCTTTTCCGATCTCGTCCACGGTGTTCGTGTTTGATTCATACGTCATCTTCAAAGTTGACGTCTGAGAAATGTTCTCCTGTCATTCTTACAGGGTTTCTTTCGGCGGACGATCCGTCTGAAGTTGGAGTACGACAAGTGCGAGCGTCGCTGCAAGATCCAAAAAAAGAACCGCAACAAGTGCCAATACTGCCGCTTCCAGAAGTGCCTGTCGGTGGGAATGTCCCACAACGGTGAGTCTTACAGGTCTCACACACACACACAAATTCATATTTCCTGTAAACACACACTACGTAACAGAGTAACACAGTTGTGCAGATGCAGGACAGCACCGGCGTGGACACACATTATTGGCATGAAGAGGAAATGGAACACCGCAGTTGGGTGTTCCATTGCACGTTACAGGGCCAGTCTCTGAGGACTAATGGAGGCTATTAGACAACTTCCACATCATTGGGACCGTCTGTATATCCTTTTTATTCAGAAAACATTTGTGTCTGCTGCAGCCTTTACAGCGCTGGGTCAAATTGAATTGCAGAAGGAGAACTGATACGTGAACATGTTGGGAAATAACATGGCCAAGTGAGTCAATGCTCATGATTATGAACAGTTGCACAGGTTGATTTGAAGTGAAAAAAGACTCATTTTAAGGGACAAAGTATTACGAATAATGCTGATGAATCACGCGATAAAAAAATCATTGCCTTCAATAATTCAAACCATGTTGTATTTGTATTATTTTCAGAATGTATTCTACTTTATTAAAAGGTATACTTTTGAAACAGAATAAAAATGTACTTGTCTGGCCATATTAGAAAAATGGTTAAACCGGAACACCGGAAGCTTCTACGGGCTGCGTTTCACTCCCCACTGTTGGAGAGAAAACGCCTGCCTACATGGCGTCTAACAACATCAGAATGTCACCTGGTCGCCTTTGTTTGGAATACAGGAACGTTGAGGTTAAAGTGCGTGTTTCCGGTGAATGCCGTGGACCCTAAGTAGACGTACTACACGGCTAGTTGACCTTTGGTCAAGGTCAATGTCCTGATTGGGAAAGAAACACTGTGACCGTTGCGGTATTTTTAGACGAAGGATCAAAAAGGTCACTGCAATCGATAGGTTTACGTACGGACAGCACTCTGCAGATATTCCACACCGGCGACGATGCAGAGGATGCAGGGGCCGGACTTGGCGACTTCATTTTGACCCACGGGGTCACTGACGATATCACTGATGATGCGTAAATAAGCATTTGTGTCAGCTCCACTTCCTTTGACGGTCTAATCATATGGATTTTCTTGAGCTTAAATGTAACTGTAGAAGGGGAGGAAGGAGATTTGAGACCGATGCAACCTAAGCTTCTGGGCTCGGTGGTCTAAGAGAAAACAAAAACCCAGGACTATGCCACTTTGTTTACATTGAGGTTTTCTTTCTAAAATAGTTCAGCGGTGCGGACTTCTTCAAATATAAATCCGTAAAGGTTCAAATATCATTAGAAGGGGATTATTTTTATATATTATTTATAAATTAGGTTTACCCATTAAAAGGCTGACAGACTGTCCAACTCCCTCACCGCTCGATTGGTGGACTCATCCCTTCACAGGGGATTTAAGGAAATGGACTTATTCTCAGCTTAACATCACTCACTTCCTCTCATCTTAATTAGACTGGGCTCCTCGCTGTTGGGCTTCAGCAGTTTGAGATGATCACTCCACTTTGTGAGCAGTAATCTGCCGTCTGCGTATCAGCGTCCTCATCTCGCTCGGTCGGGCTCAGCGGGCCGGGGTTTGTTTCAGCGGAAAAACCTCTTTCAATGCTTTTATTGTCTCGTAAATGCAGTCATTAGCTGGAGCTGGATGTTGAGGTCTCAGAGAACGGTGTGCGTGTGCGTGTGCGTGTGCGTGTGTGTGTGTGTGTGTGTGTGTGTGTGTGTGTGTGTGTGCGCCTAGCTTGCGCCCATTTGAATGGGCGCTGAAGGGGTTAAGAACTGTTCACGTCTGATCTCATCCGTCAAACGGGGTCAGGCTGTCTGAGTCCTCTTGTGTACTGTTAAAGCATTCTTTGCAAACACTATACGTGTTATCAACCTTTTGTGTCCGTAATGTTCTATTGCTGTAATTGTTTTCATTTTATCTTATCTAAAAAAATAGATATTGATTCTTTTTCCTTTTAGAATTTTCTTTCTATTGTGTGTTAATGGCATGTATGTTGCATGGAAATTATGGCTTTTAACGTGTTTTTTTTTTATCCACCTGTAGTGGAATTGTTTTTTTGATGCATTCCATGTCAGCGTGAAAGTCAGATTGTGTTTGTCTTTGTAAAGACCTTCAACTGCAAGCACGTCTGAGTTTTACTGACTTTAAAGCCATTTGGACTTGTGCTTATTATAACATCATGGTTGTCAAGGAGACAGAGTACTGTTCTCAGAGCGATTTGTTGGGTTTAAATAAGGCGAAGGAGACGCTCAACACAGTAACTTAAACGTATACACTTCATCTTCGTCTGACTCTCTCTCTGCTTCGCTTCCAGCCATCCGTTTTGGCCGGATGCCCCAGTCGGAGAAGCTAAAGCTGAAGGCGGAGATGGTAACGGGGGACAGGGAGATGGGAGACCCGCAGGTCGCCGACCAGAAGACGCTGGCCCGACAGATTTACGAGGCCTACCTCAAGAACTTCAACATGAACAAGGCCAAGGCTCGAACCGTACTCACTGGCAAGACCACCACACCTGTACGTTTATTAAGAGTAGTGGGTTGGTGAGTGAACGGTGTCGCGTGTGTGGATTGCGTGCTCGGGGCTTTTCTCATGTTGTTTTACAACTTTTTGCATTTATTTCTCTCCCATATGATGTCTCAATATGACCTGGCAGCGTGCACCTCAGAGATTATGTGCAGCCAGCCAATGACATCAATCGCATCAATCACAAATGGTCTGTACACTGCCCCCCCCACTGCCTGTTTGCCACCATCGCACTCCGTTCAACAGCCCCCCCCAATCTTATGGAAAACACATTCCTACGCAGCCTCGTGCCGGGGGGGGTGCAGCCCCTGTGTGTGTGTGTGTGTGCACAAGGTGAGGGACAGGTCCAGTCCCCCCCCCCGCTCTGCTTCTAGCGATCAAAGCTTTCAGATGCAGAAGTGTCCATTTACAGTCCAGAGGGTGTCTAACCCTAACCCACCCAAAGATCTGCGTGATGCAGCATGTCCCGGTTGGACGCTGGAGAGACAGCAATCAAGGCCCGGTTGGCTCCCACAGGGTCCTTATACACCAGCGGCCAATCACCTACAAAGCAAAAGCACAGAGCAAGACAAAATATAACAGCACCCCCCCCTCAGGCAGGGAGGTGAAACGCAACTATTACATGACTGAGTCATAACAGGATCCGATTGGTTGAATCAAACTTGTGGTATTTTCATTCCCACAGGACCATACAAATACCACATGTGACCTATCACAAAGCCTGTTTTGGGACGGCTGTCGCGATATGAAAATGACCTGCAGTACATCAGGATCAAAGTTTCTTGCCAGATCACCAAGTCCTACTCATGAAGTCCTGTTGTTCACTTTCCCACAGCTCTCTACAGATTCCAACATGTCGAACTTCTGGGATTGTAACGTGAAATAATAATAACCTTCTACTAGTATACCAAATCACGTTATTTGTAGTCTGCGAGGGCAACCGGTCAACACCATGGAAGATATCTTAGCAAGGCGACGGTTGACATAGGAAGCATTTAAACTTAATTGATGATTGTTGAGTGTCTTCAATCCATCGTCAACGTATTTGGATATGGGTCCGACATCGTCCGTCTCCGCGTCTGCAGGACCGCTGAGCCTTTGACCTGTGATCATCTGTTTTATTGTCTAACTGAACTGGTTTCGCTGAGTCACTGTTCATACCAACTGTACATACAGTTTTGACAAGGTGTAAAGATAAGCAGCTACACAAGTGTCAAGCTGCTGCACGAGGCGACGCGATTCTCTGTCATCCTGTGAAGTCAATCAATAAAACAATAAAACCTAAACAAAACTCAATACATTTCCAACAGCAACCGCTGCACTTTGCTAACACAAAGATATAGGAGCATTGAAGTGGTGGGTTTCCAAGTGTCGTGTCAATTTAGTGGGCTTTGTACTGTGTTTTAAGACACTTAAGGGCCGTCCACAGAGCCCATGGACGGATATACCTCGTTATGTTTTCCTACTTACACTTTTTTTTTGTGGTGGTCGCGTCACCTGTTACAGCTGTGACATTTCTTAAGTGCACACGTGACATAGTGCTCTATCTTTACAAGTTGTTTGCAATTGTATTTCTTATGTTGTTTTACCGGTGTGTGTGTGTGTGTGTGTGTGTGTGTGTGTGTAGGGGGGGTGTTGGTGAAGTTGCACCTCCCCTGTAGTTCCAACGCACAGAGATTGCTCCATTTTAAAAATGCACATTGCTATAACTATTCCAACTTGTTAATCCAACCGGTGATCGAGTGTTGTGTGGACATACCTTGTGCCTCATGACACATCCTGCTGCTCAATTCCATATTTAGCACAGACCCTGAGTCAGAGCTCTTGATGTGATGTGATGTAAAGTAGCAGGTGTAGCTGCTCATCGGATGGTGTAACTTTGCCACTGTAGGAACATCCATCCATCTGCAAACCTCTTATCCTGCACACGGGGTCTTGGGGGGGCTGAAGTCCATCCCAGCCGACTTCAGGCGATAGACAGGGTTCATCCTGGACTGGTCGCCAGCCAATCACAGGGCTACACAGAGACACACAACCATTCACACACCTACGGGCAAGTTAGAGTCTCCACTGTAGGAACAGTGACGCAGCTAAAAAACTGCCTGGGTAGAATCAAGGCATCACTGCTCGCGTTGTATGAGCTCACAGAGCGGCTTCAAAGGCGTCTCCAGGATTGTGTATCCATATTTTTGCTGAGAAGTAGAATTCATGGGTGGTAGTTTCTAATTAATCCCTTTTTTATCTTTTCCATTTTGAGTTTGCCGTGGTTCGCCTGCTTTGCTTTTGCATCTCATTCACAAGAGTCCTGGCTCGGCCATAAAATTGTCTCAACATGGTCAAAGCTGATCAGTTTTTCATTGCAGCAAAAGAACAGGAAGTAAGGCACTGGATATAATGTTGTGTATAAAACAGATCATCTTCCAGAAAAAAAGATATTTATTCCGACTCATTGTCATTGTTTACAATATTAAAATAGAATGTGATATATCTTATCAACTGTCTTCTTTACCTTTTTGAGAAGCACTACTCTTGTTTGCATTAAATGAACCATAACTATCTAGTTGTAGGAGTAGAACAGCCCTAGCCTCTCTTTTCACTAAGGATTCTGGCTAAGCACCACATACCTATATGGTTGTTCATAAAGTCAGGTCAGATTTATTTATGTAACGTAAGCCCAAATATTACAAACTACCGACTTTGTTGCATTTCAAGTGGAAACCCCTTTTTGGCTACACCTCACGCATATAGCTCACAAAAGTCTTCTCGACTCCTCAGCCTTTTGTCATCCATGACATGGAGACCCTCAAGCTGGCGGAGCAGACGCTGGTGGCAAAGATGGTGGGCGCAGTGGGAACGCTGAAGGACCGGGAGGCTGAGGTCCGGATCTTCCACTGCTGCCAGTGCACGTCGGTGGAGACCGTCACGGAGCTCACCGAGTTTGCGAAGTCCGTCCCGGGTTTCTCCAGCCTGGACCTCAACGATCAGGTGACTCTTTTAAAATATGGCGTGCACGAGGCCCTCTTCGCCATGCTGGCCTCCAGTATGAACAAGGACGGGCTTCTTGTGGCGTACGGCTCGGGCTTCGTCACCCGGGAGTTCCTCAAGAGCCTGCGCCGGCCGTTCAGTGACATGATGGAGCCAAAGTTCCAGTTTGCAATGAAGTTCAACGCCATGGAACTGGACGACAGTGACATGGCTCTGTTTGTCGCCGCCATCATCTGCTGTGGAGGTGAGGAGCACACAGGACAAGTGATGTTGTTAAACTACTCATTTGCTGTATTGTATCTTCTTTTTCCTTTTGCTCTTTGAAAAGCAAATGCTTACATATTCCACAAATGTACAGAAATCGTGAAAGCACTCCTTGCTGCTCAATGAGACTGTGGCTAAGTGCTCTAACTCCAGGTTACTTTGCTTTCCCTTCTGATCAGACCGCCCGGGCCTGGTGAACGTGGCGCACATCGAGCGGATGCAGGAGAGCATTGTGCAGGTGCTGCAGGTCCATCTGCTGGCCAATCACCCCGACAACTCTTTCCTCTTTCCCAAGCTGCTGCAGAAACTGGCTGACCTCCGGCAGCTTGTCACTGAACATGCCCAGCTGGTGCAGGAGATCAAAAAGACAGAGGACACTTCCCTGCACCCACTTCTGCAGGAGATCTATAGAGACCTGTACTGAGGAGTTTGAGGAGGAATAACCAGGACAGGCCCTCTACAAATCATGTCTGCCGCTTCAGGGACAGTAGAGCTGTCCTCAATAAATTATGTTTGCGTGGACCTTCATCAGCAGAAGATTCCTGTATGCAGGTGATGTACAGCAGATTGAGCCCCAGGTGAGACGCCGGTGCAGGTAATCACTGATCAGGCACTAGCTGGTAATTTAGTAAAGTATTCGATCTCCATGGTTGTTCCTATCCTGACCCTTAACAAGCCCTAAAAATGAGGAAAGCAGTATGCTTGAAAGGAGATTTTTATACTGTTGTCAAAGAGCCATATTCTTTCAATGCCCAAATGAGTTCAGTGGGCAGTGACATTGAGGTACACAATGTCTTTGGTATTCCTTCCTAGCATCTATTCTAGGTGTGGATTATCATCACTTAATACTCAACTTGTGTTTGTACACGTCAGAGCAAGAAAGCTAAATCTTAGTTTGTCAGAAATGTTTCAAGAATCAATTTTTTCAAGATTCAAGAATCTGAGGCAGATTCAAGGTGTTGGTGCATCACAATGCAGATATGTTAATATTACATCTGGTTTGAATGCCTTTTTCACAAAACACATGCACAGACATTTGGCACTCCATTTTTTTTTTCCCATCCCGGTATTCAAGCCAACACCCCAATGAACTGCATTTCAACCTTTACACAGGCAGACTTGGACATCTCTCTCAGTAAAGCCCTTCGCCTACATAATACGTCTTATTTCTGTGTATTTCACAGGCTTTCTTTTGTCCTCATAACGCATGCAGTTAACAAGATTCAAGAGGTCTTATGTGCACATTTTGACATGATGGAAACTGAAAACCATTACTTCTTTTTAAAATAGAGGCAAATTATAAAGGGACACCCTTCTGATTCACGTTGGTATTTTTGGTAAATTAAAAGACGAAGCAGCACACGAACTCATTGAAATGAAATCTTATTGTTTTATAAATACTGTATATCACATGGTATAAACTGAGTGTACTGTACAGCTGAGATGATGCTGGACCCACTTTCTAACTACAACGTACTAACTTTTGTATTTCTCTGTTTGGTAAATAGTGTTTTACAGCATATGTAGTGAAATACTGTATGTTCTTTTTTGCATAATTACCACATAGTTTGGTTTTAATAGTTTGATCATATTTTTATACTAAAGTATATATGTATGACATCATTTTCTTGTGTATTTGAAATGGCACAATTGGAGAGTGCCGTGTAAATATGAGGGTAACAGGGCAACTGGTAATCGGAATATCGATCTGAATCCCATTGGGGACATTCCTTTCGTTAATTGCTATTTTTAGTAGAGTAGCATCAATGCATTCAGCTCATTTCATCACTCTGTCTTGTATTTGTTAAATTAAGCTTTTGTGATTTAAAGTGAAAGCAGATCTGCAAGGGGCTCTAGTAGCTCACAACTTCAAATAGTGGATTAAAAACATGACCTGTGACCTTTGGTCATTTTCAATCAAGCTACTGCCCAGCACTGATCATACAATGCTGGTCTCCTCTTTTTATACTCTGTTCTCAGGTTGCATATTTTACATAAAAAAGGCAATATATACAGAGAAATGTCATATCAGAAATCGTCCATAGTTGCCTCCTGTTGTCAAACAAACAAATATATATTTTTATTACACTTCACGTCTCTGTTGATCCAATAGAGAAACTGTATGCACTCATAATTTATCACATCACACGCTATTTGTGAAGAAGATGCAGTATGTACCGTTTTATAATGTTTTGTCTGACTTTCCTCTGCTTACTCGCTGCTATATTGTAATAACTCAAACATTTCTCATGCCATGAGTAGATTACTGATCTGTACTTCTCACAGAATGTCAGGATTCATTCGACGCAGCTCGTTTTTTCCCCACCCTGGGACTTGTAGTTCCCAGGCACACTGTGGGATTAACCATGAACAACCTGTGCCTTAGCGTGTTCCCATGCCATCAAACACTAGAGATTCAGAACAAACAAGCGGGACTCATGCACACACACTTTCAGACTTCTAAACTATGCCTGTCCTCAGCTGCAGTCAGCGGTTTATGACCCACGAGGGCCACGCAGACAGGAAGTGATTTCAAACTATCCCATGTACAGCTAGACAGACGTGCTGCTGAACGCTTCATTTTAGCTTCATTACAAAAAAACAACTAGACACAATGGTTGAAACATAAGAGCTCCAGAGGAAAAGTCGTGTTGATTTGTGATGTCTGCTTATAGGGAAATCTGTTTTGCGTTGAACTGACCGTGGACTTTTTAAACTTGTATCAGGGAAACTTAGTCTTCCTTTGTTGAACTAGCTCAGGACATAGAAAGAGAGTGTTCCTTCTCATTCTCTGTCTCTCTTTAGAGAAAGTTTATCGTGCTCCGCCTTACAGGAAACAAATACCATCGATATTGATTACAGGAATATTGATATATGCCCTTGTTTGTGTTTAACAAAACTGAATGAAAAATGTTACCAGAGGGCAGCAGACATGAGCACTAGGTATTCAAGTTGTTTTGTTGTCTAGTGTCACGCAAAGAGACAACAGAAACTGTCTTTGTGTGTGTTGTTAATGTGTAATGTGGCTTGGTAACAATGCTGTAAATATTTAATGAATGTATATCTAGTGATTTAAACAGTGGAACGAGCTGAAATGAATTTAATAATAAAATGATTTATGAATCTACCACGTCTACAAGTCGTTTGTTTGAATGTCTTTAGACTAGTCTGGTAAATAAAACGTGGAATGTTTCAGGCTGTCCTGGTCAGGGACCCTGTGCACGTTTGCCATCTATTGGTGAATTCTCTTCGTGCAACTGAGTGAACTAATAAGTGCACATGTGCATTTTACTTCAATGTCTACCGAGGGAAGAAAGCACATTTAAATGTGCACTGCAGCTCGCTCCCAAGTTATGTGGGAATGAATGTGTATTATGAATAAATCCCTAAATTACTACATCAGATGAAAGAAATAAGCAAAGTCACCGTATGTCCTTCAGACCAGCTGTAACTCCCACAACAACCAACAGTGTAAATCCCTTTAAATGATGTATTCACAATTAATAACCTACACAATGCACATACATGGTGACGGTGCAGGCGGTCAAACGGGGCCTTGTGTGGGGCTCCTTCGTCCCTCCAGCCGCTGGAGGCGCTGTGCGGGGAACGAGCCCTGCGTGGACCTCAGCTCCGCCTCCGTGTTTCCGTCCCCACTTGGTCCAACATGGCCGCGTCCATGGCGAGGACCTGCCGGCACGTCCCGCGGCGTGGACCGTGTGTTCTGCGCCTCACGCTCAGGTCGAAGCTCCACAACGGACTGCTGCTTTCTCTAAATAAACGCGGCATCCTGAAGGAGTCTTTCCCGGAGGACGCGGCGCAGGACCGGCTCCCGCGGCTGCTCCAATCCGGCGCGCAGACCGTGTACTGCGGCTTCGACCCCACGGCCGATAGCCTCCATGTGGGCAACTTGCTCGCCATCGTCGGCCTCTTGCACTTCCGCAGCGCCGGACACCACGTCCTCGCCGTGCTCGGAGGGGCCACGGCGCAGATCGGAGACCCCAGCGGGAAAACGAGCGAGCGAGAGCGGCTGTCGGCGGAGGTCGCGGAGGCGAACACCCGCGGCATCCGCGAGAGCATCCAGCGGGTTTTCACCAACCACGAGCTTCACTTTCACGACGGCTCCCGGAAGGCGGGCACGGTGACCGTGCTGAACAACCTGAGCTGGTACAAGAACCGCGGCGTGGTGGACTTTCTCTCCGAGGCCGGAAGGCACCTGAGGATGGGGACCATGCTCAGCCGCCACAGCGTGCAGTCCCGCCTGAGGAGCGCGGACGGAATGAGCCTGACCGAGTTCACCTACCAGGTGTTCCAAGCGTACGACTTCCACCACCTCAACCAGATCTACGGCTGCAAGATCCAGCTCGGGGGCACCGACCAGCTGGGCAACCTGATGTCTGGACACGAGTACATTCACAAGTAAATGTCCGTCCTGCTTAACTGGGGCGACCCGTTGTGTCAGCGGCAGGACATGTCTCCTCTGTGTGTGTGTGTGTGTGTGTGTGTGTGTGTGTGTGAGAGAGAGAGAGATGTCGCGTGTGTGTGTGAGAGAGATGTCGCGTGTGTGTGTGTGTGTGTGTGTGTGTGTGGGCGTGTGTGTGTGTGTGTGTGAGAGAGAGATGTCGCGTGTGTGTGTGTGTGTGTGTGTGTGAGAGAGATGTCGTGTGTGTGTGTGTGTGTGTGTGTGTGTGTGAGAGAGATGTCGTGTGTGTGTGTGTGAGAGAGATGTCTCATCTGTCTCTGTGTGTGTGTGTGTGTGTGTGTGTGTGTGTGTGTGTGTGTCAGGCGAGGTCCTTCCGAACCTCGTAGAGAATTCTTTAATAAATCATGGATCCTTGGTAACTGTACACGCACAGCAACTTGAGGTCCTTTGTGAGCTGTAAGGAGTCACTGTGCCGGTGGAGGGTTTCTGGACAGAGGATGTTGTATGTGTACAGACTGTAAAGCCCTCTGAGGCTAATTTGCGATTTTGGGCTCTACAAAATAAAATGATTTGAATTGAACTGTTCAATTCTGCATCTCTAAAAGCTCCCATGCAGGTTTTTCATAGTAAAATCACCTTTAAGCACGAAGCGAATGACTTCTACCCCCCACAAGCCAAAGCGAAAAGGCATCATGGATCCACGTATATTACAACAGGAAATTGTACACAAGCTCTGTTAAATGAATCCCAATTCCTCCGCAGAGCGAGCGGCGACGAGGTGTTCGGTCTCACCGTCCCGTTGGTGACCAGCTCGGCCGGGGACAAGCTGGGGAAGACGGCAGGCAACGCGGTGTGGCTCAACAGAGACAAGACGTCTCCCTTTGAGTTCTACCAGTTCTTTCTCCGGCAGCCTGACGCCAGTGTGGAAAGGTACGTGGGGACGGGGCTATACGGACCGGTGCAAGACCGGGAGGCGTCCCGTCGATGCTCGCTTATACACCCTGATCTGTCTTAAGCGAAAGCCTTCTGTGCACCGTCCCAGGAGGCCCGGGTGTATTGCTCGTTTTCTCTCCCCGTAGGTTCCTGAAGCTGTTTACTTTCCTGCCCCTGGCGGAGGTGGAGAGGCTGATGGAGCAGCAGCGGGACGACCCAGGAAAACGCCTCGCACACAAGCGGCTGGCGGCGGAGGTGACCAAACTGGTGCACGGAAAAGAGGGCCTGGAGAGTGCAAAGAGGTCAGAGCGGGCTGCACTCGGGTCTTTGTCCTGTAGCTGCCTGTGAGCTGCGTGCACGGGGGATAATCCACCTGTTCAGCTCAAGGATCCTCATATTCTGTATCATTGCTGCAGGTGCACTGACGCATTGTACCACAGCAGCGTGCAGGCCTTGGAAGAAATGAGTGACGGTGAGCTTCAGGAGCTTTTCAGGGAGGCGCCCTTCCACGAGCTGCTGCTGGAACCCGGTACCACAGTGATGGACGCCTGTCGCAGGCTCAGCGCCGTCCCAGAGGGACCCAGGGGGTAGGTGCTCTCGCCTTAAATCTTGCCTTTCTCGCCTTTTTTGAGTGAAAAAAAGGCGAGAAAGACACTTTTCTTTAGTGTCTAAAGATGGCTAACAAACGTGCGTGCTCACGATGTGCATTGCAGCGGTAATGTCCTGACTATTTCAGACTGGTTTACGTGAAGGTGACCCCGTGCTAACTGATGTTTGTGTGCAGGTATCAGATGGTTTCAGAGGGCGCCGTGTGGATCAACCACAGGCGGACGGACAATCCAGAGCAGCTACTCCTCCCCAAACTCCACATCCTGTCCAATGGACTCACCTTGCTCAGAGTGGGCAAGAGGAACTTCTACATCATCAAGTGGCTCAGTCTCCAAGGCCTTTCATGAGGGACGAGTTTGACCCGTGATGAGCTGGCCGGGAAGGTAGGCGCCAAGCCGTGGTCAGTGAGGACACGTGGAAAAGGACGAATATTTTGGAACATACCTGGGTTGTTGCCGTAGGGATTTCCTGTGGTTGTCATATAAATATGTGTATGCACAGATGGGACGTTTACCCGATGCAATGGTATTATTAAAAGGCGTGTGATGTACAGATTGTCGCGTGCTGACTTTGTACTTCTACAGTTCTGGACAGCGAACACTAGAGGGCAGCGTTGTCCCAGTCAAACCGCTGCACCGCGTAGGCCGCTGCTACCACATCCGTAAATAATTGCCCACAGTAAAATTCAATTGCATCATTTCTCGCAAATAGGTTATCGTTCTATGTTTAGCACATCCTGTTTAATTTATTTTATTCGATGGTAACACGAGGCCAACATCTGCGTCAGTGTGGCTGTTTTTCCTGCCTTAGTGTAAATTGTACTAGAGAGAAAGATACAAGTTTTGGGAGGATTTCTAAAATGAATCGATCTTGCTTGTAGATTATTTTCACGTTTCATAAATTTGATATTCCCATTTCTAGAATTTTGTATTTAAATATCGGTATTTGTTCTCAATGTGGTGAGCTTAAAGTTATCAATTTTGTGCCTATGCCCGTTATTGTTCTTTTTTTTCTTTTTTATTTTTTCTCATAGGTTTTTTTTTTTCTTCTACATTTGTAGACTTCTTGAAGGGCAGATGTGCATTGCTTTCTCTTTCATCTACCCATCTCTTTTATCACTGCTGTGGCCAGTGGAGATCAAGACAGGATCTGCTGACCTTCACTTACGCTTCTCAGCTCCAGAGGATTGTTGGAAATACTGTGACACAAGGATATACTTCCACCCAATTTACAGATTGGGGTTTTGGCCATTGCTTGATAGTTTTGACTTGGAGGGGGTATATCTACTGCATCACAAGTCGACAAATTGAAGCATACATGTAGATTCAATAATGTTATTTATAAGTGTGGGAAATGTATAAACATCTCCATTCTAACGTATTCATTGAAGACTGCCTCCATAACGTCTCTATACATTTGTATTTTAGGAATAATATATGTACTTATATATGTAGTCGATTTCTAAGAGGTCGGTTATATTGAACAAAAAATATTTAATGTCTTAAACTCAGGCCTGGAAGACCAGCATCGTTTTCCCATAAGGATGCAGTTAGTTTTACAGCCAATTAGTTAAAATGTTAGTTTTTTTTTCTAGTTGGACAAGCACCGATGCCCTGAAGCAGTTTTGTGCGGCTAACAGACGGGTCGTGTTGCAACCCTTCGGGAACTAGCTGGTCTACCTTAAGAGAAGTGGGCGGGTCTTAAGCACCTTGACCAATGAGCCGCCTTCTCGGCATTTAAATAGCTTTGTGTGTGTGTGTGTGTGTGTGTGTGTGTGTCAATCACCCCCCTACCCCGCCCCCTACCCCAGTCAGGCTCTACTCTCAATCCCGAGCAACGCTACATCGCTCAATCGCCATATTGGGTACTGAGGTCGGTCCGCACTTGCTCTCGCCTGCGGGACGAGTTGGACGCGAACGGCTTCGGTTCCCGGTCTTCCTCGAGCAGAATATCCGCGCACTGTGCTTGGGCTTCGGAAGAGCAGCGGCGGCCGCCCCCCTTCGAGCCCCGACGCACGCACGCGCGCACGCAGTCCACTCATGGCTTAAGTCCTTTTACGCTCGCTTTGGATCCCGCGCAGCGTCGAGGAGACACCCGCTGTTCACCGAGCGCTGGCCCGTATTGTTGTGGTTTAGTTTTTCTCGTGAAAACTGGACGTTCCCGACTGTTTGCAAGAAACCCAAATCCCGTATTTCTTTTTTTGGTGGAGGGGGGCGGGGCAGGTGGGGGGGAAATGTCAGATGTTCGACTATCCAACGGGAGCCCGACTCTGGAGCGGACGGACTCCCGGGTGTCGGATCACCCGAAGCCGTCGGCTTGCAGGAGCCTCTTCGGCCAGGCGGATCACGAAGGGTTAAAGAGGGAATTAAAGGGACATTTTCGGGAGATGGAAGAGGTCGCTTCCGCCAAGTGGGGCTTCGATTTCGCCAATCACAGGCCGCTGGTCCACGGGAGGATCAAGTGGGAGCTGGTGGACTGCAGAGACGTCCCGGAGTTCTACAACAAGCCGCCGCGGAGGGAGAAGAAGGGCGTCTGCTCCGCCGGGAATAACAAGGTGGATCTAAACGGGAATCATAGTTGCGTGGTGCTGTCTTCGAGCGAGGACAACGAGCGGTCCGATGGACACATGGAATGCACGGAACAGTGCACCGGAATGAGGAAAAGACCGGCGTGTCACGGTGAGTTCCTGGCTTCGTAACCAAATGACCACTGGCAGGTAACCGGGCAGCGCCTCGATCCCAGGGGTCGTGTAACGCTCTTTGGGCACCGGGGATCTGTTTTTATTATTATTGTTTGTGTCTTTTCTATATATATATTTTTTTTGTAACTGACTGCCTTGCCTTTGCAGACCCCTCGGCCCCAAATAAGAGATCACACAGCAGCTCCGATGAGGTCACTTGTCCGAGCCGGAGCCGCTCTGCAGAACACACGCCCAGAAAGACGAGTCCCAAGAGGCAAACGTGAGCCCCGCGGACGGTAAGCGGACCACTCTGCCTTTATTCGATGTTTGTATGCTGGAGTCAGTGTACAGAAGTCTGTCCCAGCTGCACAATGTGAATCCACCGTTTGATCGTGTATTTGAAGATGCGATCACGTGGTGTTTTTAACGCATCCCACTCGGCGGCGTTGTTCGCGTTATTCGTTTAACTCTGATTCAATTCAGTTGCCGATTAGATGAGCTTTTCGACCATAGTGTGAGTAAATGCCCGCTGCCCACATAAACAAGCTTTAAAATAATGAATAAAGGAAAAAGCCTGTTTTAATTTACTACTTTTTTAACTACAGCCGCTGCCTGCTTTGAGTTTCCGACTAAACTGTAAACAACGAGGTTGCGGAACAACAGCGTAGTAACACGTCAGCAGCCGCGCGGACGGGAAGGGGCAGGTCCCCCCCCCCTCTGTGTGTGTGTGTGCGTGTGCGTGCGGGTGCTGCACGCTAATGTTACAACACGCACACACAAGAACACGCACGTCGGTCTCTGCCGCGTCGCTGTGACAAAGCGGAGATCTGCAGGCTCGTTGCAGGATGCGCGAAGTGTCGACACCAAAAACCTTTTCATAGCGTTTTTTATCCATATCTGGAAGGTGGTGTTTTTTTTGCACACTGAAATATGTGAGGTGATGATGAATAAACAAGTTTATAGCTATCAGGAAAATATCCCATATATGTTTACGTGCTAGTTTTTGCGTAATCTAGCTGCCTTATAAATCAATATTATAAATTGAATATGGCACCTGTGTAATCACCTCGTCTGCTATTTTTACACCAATATATTCTAATGGTGGAACGTAACCGATCAGCCGAGTAACTGTTTTCAGTTTGTGGAGACTGTCCTGTTGCTTTCCAGACAGTCCTCCTCTTCGTCAAAGTGCACGAGGACATAGTGTTCATGTGTTCAAGAGAACACTCACAAGCACAACAGGCTCCTTCTATTCTCACTCACATGCCGACTGATTTTTTTTTTTTTCTTTCATCAAATTGTCCCACAGAGCCGAAGAACTGTTTCCCCGTTTCAAGTGGGAAACCTCAGTGATGGTGGGTTTTGGAGGAGGAACTACGCAGCACCAGAAACATATCAACCCTCCTGAAGACGGGGGAGGACGCTGTTGAAGCACTGAATAGAAACACTAAAGTTGTGGCACTCAATTAAAAAGTTACTGCCTCTAAAAGCAGTCAATGTAGCAGTGTGCAATTAGGTTTAATTTCCTTTTTTGCTCCTTTTAAATTTTTTTTTTATTTACTACCTGTGTGTAAATAAATATTCATATTATATTTCTTTCCATATGTAGCACATAAAAACATTATTTGAACACCAATCCTTTATGTAAAAAGTTGTGAGCTTTGATTTGACTTGAAGAATTTGCTGTGTAGTTTGATACATGTTTCCAAAATGCTGTTCTGTTTTTTTTTCGTTTTTTTTCTTCTGAAAAACAATGTGACTTTGACACGGTCCCTAAATGCTACATTTAAAACAAAATCAAGACTTCTTAGTTTCTCCACAGTGTATCTTCACTCCGTCGCCTTCCTAACTTGGCAGTGAAGAACGGTACAAATGTAGCTTGGCGGTCGCTTTCAAAGTTTCCCTCATCTGGTCACTTCCGCAGAAAAAAAAAAAAGTAATATTTCTGCTCGGGTTCCCTTACCCAGTATTTATTTTGGATATGGGTGCCTTCAGCATCAGTCGACTCCTGGAATATGATCAACTTCCTTCTCGAGGTCTCCCGCACACCTCGGCCACTTTGTGGTGCCGTGTTTGATTTGGAGTTGTGAGGTACTCGGGTATTGAAGGACAAACACCAGGTTGTCTTGTAAAGTCATCCTCTCTGTGAAGTTATTCTTTTTGCCTCGTCAGCCTTAACTGCTCTCCCGAGAGTTTTTGTAAAAAGGGTCAAACGTCCTACGATGCCAACTGCGCTCCTCAATTGACTTCTTTTTGTGACAACCTAGACTTAAATTTACATTTTCTGTTTGTACTTGTTTCACCAATGTTGTTAGCCTGCTGAGGATGCAAAACGTGAGCATCCAAAAGCTTCCCTTTATTTGCCTGAAGTTTGGGTTCAATTCAAAGAGACCAGTCTACACCTGCAGAGAACTCTCATGCAGTCACCATGCCTGTGTATTTGTGTAAAACTTTGCAATGTACCTATGTACATAATTTTGTAAAAACACTGAGAAATTATACTAACTTATTTATGTCAAGCTTTTTTGTATGTAGAATAAAAAAAAAATGGGTTTTTGATTACGGTTATCCAAAGTGGCATTTACTTTATTCTAATTGTCTTATTTTGTAAAGGCATGTTTTCGGTAGTTTTCTCTGTTCAATAAGGTTGCAAACTGAGCCTGGTAAAATATTTCATGTTCATTTTGTAATGTGTGGTTCTAAAATGTGTTGCAATCAATTAAAAGAGAAAATGAAGTGCGACTGTTGGCTGCTTTTTGGTGCTCACACCTGACTCGCTCAGGTCCATTAACTGAGCGTTTTGCAGCAGCTGTGACGGCGTCATGGAGGCGTCCTGGTGCGATGCAGGGATACTCCCAGTGTGAATCCGCCCATGATTGACACTTCATTCACCCAATCGAAGGGAGAGTGGAAAGCAGACCACTTGTTGCAGCCAGTAATATTTAGTGTCTTATCTTGGGAACGCCTTTCGTGGAAAATACACGTAAGAGCTTTGAGCTCGATATACGATCCACTACTGTGTGGGGAAATACTGCAACTTGAATTGTTTTTTGAAGTTTACGTAACATTTTGATATAATTGATTTTGTATAGATACATTTTTGAAGGCTAGTATAGTCCTTTAGCTGCAAATGGTTCTGATGGAGCTTCTAAAATTGTAGAAACTGATTCATTTTACATAAGTAATTTGACCTGACTTTACTCCAAGTGACACGTCTCGCTTTCTGCACATCTTCTGCTGCAGGTCTTTGCTTCCTCCTCGTGCCACAGACACAGGAAGACACCTGCAGCAATGGGTGGGGGCTCTCCGTGTGTGTGTGGGGGGGGGGTCCTGAAGTGTGCAGGTGGGTAACCTCAGCTCAGCTGTTCACCCCCACTGTGAGCACGGCCCCATTGTCTCAGTGTGGGCCTTTGTGTGGAGGGCCATTGTGAGGGTCCGGGGCCGGTCACTGTTGTGTCTGGAGCTTCTGTGCTCAGACAAAGAGCCCGTCTAGGAGGCTCCACAGCAGGCTGACTGACTGACTGACTGACTGACTGACCATCCATTGGAGTCAATAAAAAGGGAAGTGTGTGTTTCTGCCAGTCAGCATGCTGCAGTGTCGACATTTTTTCAATGAGAATAATTAGCATTCAATGCAAAACATTTTATGTTGCACCTTTGCTTTTAATTGTGCTATTTTTTTGTGATCAAAATGATTTTGTTGTTACATGAGCGTTATCTTACTTCTTCCCATCACACCGATGTAATAATTACAAACGGTTACTGCTAAATATTTCCTTGTGTGTCAGCGTTTGACACACAAGGAAAAGTCTTCATTTTTTTGGGAGGTGGGCATGAAAGTTTCAATTACACCATTTACCACATCTTCATGTCTTCCATGTTGAGGCCTTATTACTCCATTTTATTTCTCTTCAAGCGGCTCATCAGCACGTGATTGCCTCTCCTTGCATAAGAAACACTCCCCCCCGCATGCTGTAGCAGGAATGTCCCCCTGAAAGCATTCTTGTAACCCTCCAACACTCCATCACCAACGCAAGCACAGGAAGCTGGAGGAAATTCCAGTGAGCCAGCCGATCAGAGAGCGAGAAGGCGGCGTCCCACGTGCCAGGATTTCACACTTCCTTGCTGCATCAACAGCAACAGGTGATCTTTTCCTGTTAACCGGCCCGCCATTTCATATGAAGTCACAAGTACCCCCCCTCCGGCCCCCCGGCATGTTTCCTGCCCGGGCCAAAACCCACGTCATCAAGTTATTCCCTTGGCCCCCTCTGAATAAGGGAAAAAGCAAGGCCCCACAAACAAACACCCCCCCTTCCTTTCTCTTCTTTTTTTTTTTTTTTTTTGGACACCTCAATTGGATTCATTAAGCCAGGAATTCTGTAACAATGCGGTAAAAACTATTTCATTGAAAAATGAATCTGTTTTCTGCAGTGTGTGACGTGCGCAGCGTGCTAGAGTCCGGGGATGAGTGACAGGCGGGGAGGGGAGGTCAAGGGGGGGGGACGCTGCAGAGCATCAAATGACCGATGTGCGTCTGTGCAGCGCAGGAAAGAAGAAGAAGAAGAAGAAGAAGAAGAAGAAGAGGGGGCGTAAGGCTCATTAAAGCGGCGCACCTGCAGCTTATCAGAGAGCCTTCATCTTTTCTTTTTTATCAAACCTGCTCAAGCACGCGTGCACAAGACGTGAAAAGAAGCAGCCCGTCCTGCACGCTGGGCCCGCCTCGTCCCGTGTGTGTCTCTCCTGACCGCGGCGGTGGTACCTGGCCCGGTAATCCCCCCAGGAATGCTCGAGCAGGCGTCGGGATGACAGAGATGGAGGCAGAGCTCCCAGATGAAACATCTGTGTATCTGCAGCCGGCAGAAGGGAGTCACGCTGGGTATTAGTTTGTCTCAATGAAACTACTTGTTTGAATAAAATGTTAGAATAATAAATCAGAAGTCTTATTTTTTATTAATTAAAGTAAAGATTCATTTTTCTTCCTTTAATCATTTAGTCATCAAATTATAAGAATACAGTCCAAATTAGCCCGTTTTAATTGTCCACAAAGAAAGCTGCCAGTTTACACTTTTCACATTTGTGAAAATTCAATAAACTTTTTCTTATCTTCATTTTTTGTTACAGATGTACACATAATGTAGAGTAACTGTGTGTAAACTACCAGAATCTTTTCCCACACAAATTATGATGAAAACGTGTTCAGATGTGACGTGAAGCTAAACATTTCCATGTGATGCAACTTTTTGTAACATTTTCAGGAGTGTATGTCGCGATAATTCCAGTCAGTCGGAATGTTTTACAACCCCGACCACAGTGTACATCAAATGACATCCCAATGCCCAGCCCGCACTGCCAAAACGTCTCAACCAATGACAAGGGAACACTGATGGTTTAATACGACACCCAATGGAAAATTGTCTTTTTTTGGATTTGTACCCGAAACGCATCGACGTTCCACTTTTCATGAACAATAAAGTCGTCCACATTTCATACGAATATACCCTGACTTCTCCCTAGCGTGTCTTTTTCTTTTCATCTGTCCTGCTTCTGCTGCCCTCATCAGGAGGCTGCAGAGGCCTCCGCGCTGCTCGCTCTGCCATAAGAATGAGTGAACATGTTCTGCAACGCACGACTTGATGAGAAAAACAGACTCTTCACCAAATGAAAGCTCCCTCTGCTTATGGAGAGCCGTGGATGTGGTCCATTACCTTCCCAATGTTCAATTTTTCACTTTGTTTTCAATTTACACTCCCTGCCCCCGAGTGTTGTGTTGCTGTTGGGGGACTTTTAGCTGCCCGGGTGTCCAGCTGTGAATATTAGTCTCAACTGCAAAAAAGCTTCATCCGAATAATGATAATATTTGATGGTCGGAGAGAAATCGGTGTCCACCGCATCTCTTCGCTGGGAAACCTCGTTCTTTGTTCACTTCTGAGAATTTGAGTTTGTATGAAGAAGTGTGAAATAGTGAAACCTGCACAGAATGTCGTGACTCTGTTTTTCTAGTAATGCTCAGGCCTCATGTTCTCTTTTCACTTCCCTTTTCTGATTAAAAATACTTCTACAAATCTATACATATCACCACACTGACGGTCAAAGCCTGTATTGTGTGTATATGACTTCTGTGTTGTTTTGCAATAACAGCCCCCCCCCCTTAACCCTCCCCCACCCCTCTCTCCGTCTTACAGTAGCTCCGTGCAGCAGCTGTCCACTATGCCCGACATTCTGCCTCGGCTGGCCAAAACACCACTGAAGTCCTTCCAGTTTCTGCAAAGGAATATTTCCCTTGTCTGGGGGAGGGGGGGGGAGTCCCCAATGATACAACCTTCCCTCGGAAACCCCCAGCTTTCCTCCACGCCACCGCGGCCCCTGCTCCGATGCGCGGCGCTCCCAACAACACGTCGGATGCGAATCTGAGCCGCTCCGGCGGGGCTTTTGGTTCTGCAGCTCTTGGATCGCTCTCCTCTGGTCACAGGGAGGGATGAGGCGTGGTTGAGCCACAGATGTGGCTGAAGGGAAAAACCCGTAAGGCCGAAAGGTCACCAGGGGTCAATGTAATTGCTGGCCTTTGGTTGATTTATAATCCCATTCTGGAGCTGGGTGTTTTACATATATATTTAGCTTGGTAGCACATCAGTACGTAACCTAGCAAGATGACGTCAGTGTGTTTATCGTGTATTTTACGGTGGCAGAACAGACTAACAGTACACTTTATGATTGCAGATGGGAAGGTCAAACGTTCTACGGTATAGAGGTGCAGGGGGGGCAAGGAGTTGCACCAACTGTCCCGCAGACAACTGCTGTCCTCAGCTATTTAGGGACAACTCCTGACGGAGTGGCTGGCATCAGCTGCTGCTGACATTGTTTGTCCCAGTCCTGGTTGATGTGATACACACACACACACACAGTCACACACACCTGTTGACCCATATCTGCTTTCATATAGCACAGCTATGCCTGGCCCCTATGGACAGGTGGCCTCCAAGCACCCACATGGTAGGCAGGCACCCTAACAGCCTGACAACTACCACCCGCTCAGCAGCCTCAGCCTCCCAGCTGAGCCTGTTTGGCAGCTTTTCTGGCAATTTTTATTTAAATTATTGATGTCCTGTATTTGTATATTTTTATATTATGTGTTATTTGTTATTATGTTCATTTATGGATTTGACCAGATGCCTTTTTATGGGTTGATCTAAAATGTTTAATTTAAAAAAGAGACATCAGTAAATAAAAACATCTATTATTTTATTCCCCCCAAAATACACAGTTAATTATCCAGGATTGTGTTGTATCATAACAACGTTTTCTGTAAGTAGAGATTAGAAAATCCTCAAAAGAAGAATCTGCAAAATAAAAAGCTACTTTTCGACTGTTGACCATAGAATTCATCTCTTTGATTATATTTGTTACTGTACTCATTTTTGGACTTTCTATGAAAAACCATAATATGAGGGTGTTTTTTTAATTTGAGGTGTATGCTATGGGATTTACAATGACATACTATTTAAGTTTCTTCTTTCAATTCTAATTACACCATCCCGGACTTCTTTGACATACTAAACATTTTTGCTTTTGTTTTATTCATACTTTACTATTGCTTTATTATATATATTTTGAACATACACTACTGTTTTCAGTTTTTGGCTAACATACTATAGCTTATAGCCTCTTTTTACCTTTTTAAGATATATTCTAAAACTTTATAGACTGCACCAATTTATCTGATGTGTAAGATGTAAAGAACCTGGTGGACTCCGGTCCCTGGTTTACAGAGTTCACTGTCTTATATTCTCCCTCCAGAAAGGCCTCCTCACAAGCTCTTTCAGCTTGTGCTCCTGTGTACTTCTGAGATCAAACTGCCGTTTGAAGTGGTCGTCTCTCTCTTCTCGCCGTCTAGTCTGGAGATGAAAGCTGCTCGGGGCGACCCGGAGCGGCCTCTGCAGACTCTGCAGACTCTGCCTCCATCTTTCCCTCCAGCAGTGATACAAACCAGAGGAGGACCAAAGGCAGCGGACCCATGCAGTCTCTGTGGCTGATTGAAAGTGGCTCTCTTCCCCACACTCGTGCTCCTGCGACCCCCCCCCCCCCCCCCCTTCCTCCCCGTTCTCTCTCTGCGCTGATCTTGGGACATCCCCGGTATTCTTTGGCCTTGGAAGGCAAATATGATTGAGTGGTAATAAGAGTCGTGTTGTCTTTTTTCCTTTGCATGCCTCCCTATAAGGGTTTTGGAATATTGAGGTTCAAAGTAGGTGTGCGGAATGTGTCTTTTCTTTACTCTTCCCCATCTCCGTGTGGAAGAAATGTAGTGAAATGAGGAGGTTTTATTTGGATGGAAAGCCATGTGCCATGGCTTACCTTAACCCAGATCTCTTGAGCCTGGATTAAACACGGCCCTGAAATCTATAAGACAGCTTTTCCCTCCAAAGAAAGCAAATGATGGAATAAAGGAGCTGGTACCAGAGCGTAATGAAATGGAGTTTTTTATTATTTACAGAGCTACAGTGCAGACGATGTGTGTCGACATCCCTCTGTTTCACATTGCCCCAACAAGCAGGTTAATATTTCCATGTGGTAATAAATACAGTATACAATAAGGCAATGTTTCTATTTACAACTCGTATAAAACTGTACAGCACAATAGACAGTCACATAACTACAGTACCTTTAAAATAAAAAGCCTTTATTCAATGTGAGATTAATAATAGATACGGCAAGAGTATGAAAAATATACTAGTGCTAAGAGAATGCAATAGTATTCTTCTTTCCCCTTTCCTTGTTCAACCCTATTTTGTGTGAGTATCTCTCTCTTTGGTGGGGGGTGGGGGGGCTAATAGTAGTGAAGCTATTTTCTATTTTCTACTCTCTACATGCGTCAGAAACATGAGTACAGGAACAAACGAAAGGTTGTCTTTTCATTTCTAACGTGTGCTCGTATCCCTTCGCACACAGTTAGAGCGCCGGCCCCTTAAAGCCTACTGTCGACATTCTGCACATTTTCCACTCGTTCTTTTCCTTAGTTGCTCACAATGAGTAATCTCCCTTTACCGGGGAACCAGCACTACATTAGCAATAATCAAAGCTTTAATGGGGCAAATGTATTTCCAATTGCACACATCGGCGTGAGGTAATAGAGGATATTAAGCAGGGTGGAGTGAGCACTGGTGCTGCTAAAAGGGTTTGCGATTGACACACGCACCAGAACTATCAGTGCAAAGCTGGGAGCGAAGCGAGAGGCCGCCCCTTCGCCCCGGACGCAGCTCCACCGCTGCCACGGCAGTTTGCTTATTTTCATAAGCTTTAATGCAGCTGTAAATCAGCAGCGTGTTCGCCGCTCGCCCCAGACACATGTCTTTGGTTCCATTTCTTTCACTCCAGCCCTCTCAGATAGCCGGCCCTTCCCTCCTTGTGTTATTCGATCACTGCAAACAAACAGCCACTGCAGCCTGAGTACAGTTAGTCCTGATGGATGTGTGGCTGTGGAAATAAGCCTGTTGTGTGCTGGGCGCGGATGGTGCCAAGATAACCAGAAGGATGTGAGGAATGCCTCCGCCATGGCTGGACTTTTTGGGGGCTCAGATAGCACCGCCGCTTCTATCACTGGGTTAGTGAGCTTTGGAATGCAGCTCAGTAACGGGACACGCATAAATTAAGACGGTCCAACTGAAGCGATCACTGGCCGATGAAGCCATGTGAGTGACTCAGGGCGCACAACGCTTGTGTAGTAGAGAACAGCAACATTTTGTCAACATGGAAAAGAGCCATTGAGGGGAAACGAATCCCACACTGTCCTGGAGCAATGAAAGTCTTTAAAAGTCAATGAGAAATATCTTGGATTGCAAATGAAAGAGATGCTTTTGGCGGACGGAGAGAAATAATGTGCAGGCAGGACCACCACATGTGGCGACTGCGCTGCCCCCGTAATTCCCCTTCGGCGACGACGACGCCATCGCGGCGCGACCGCGGCCTCTAGAGCTCGTCGTCCACGCTGGCCCCCATGCGTTTCTGGATGGTCACCCTGCGCATGGAGGGCTTGTACGTGAGCTCCGGCTTCGGCGGGAACTGCTCCACCAGGATCCGCAGAATAGAGTTCATATTCTGGTCCATTTTGTGCACCTGGGTCAAACACAGGGACAACATACAAACAGGTTACGTCAGCTTCGTGCCCGCGGGACGAACGTTGTGCACGTGATTACAGTTTAGAGACGCGATGCGACAAACAGCAGCTTTTGTTTCGTACGCAGCTGCAGCTCTGGTCCCAATGACAGAGCGGCGCCGGGTGTAATGACACGGCAGCCTGCCGGTCGCCGTCTACCTGCTGGAGCCACTCATTTCAAAAGCTACTGAGCCATGTGATCTTTGAGTCGGCGGATGGAAACACGCTTTCCCAACTGTAAACACAGGTGTGTCACCAAAAAGAGAGCATAAGCATGGCGTGATGCTGATGAATGGCCCCGCCCGAGGTAAACAGACCACAGACTGTCGGCTGACATTCAGACACAATGACGGCGGAGTCACATGTACACACCAAAGCATCCTCACAGGGAAGGAAAAAAGAAGTCTGTATCCTCACAAGCCGGCTTTGCTTTCTGCCTCTGCTCTCCGGAGGCTCACACAAAACACAAAACATCTACGCCCATGGTTCCAAATGGATCCGAACTGATGAATAAAGATGCTGCTTTGTAAATCAAAGACTAAACTGCCGAGCACATCAAAGAGGAACGGAGCGATTCTCCACGAGACGCAGATAGCGAGTAACTACGGCCAAACCGCGGTATTTCTGGCAGGGCGTGGTAGGATAGTTAACATCAGTGGCGTTTTCACGGGGCCCCTTTTTCTCTCCATCTTTCACTGGGTGTGCCTGACGGACTGGACACTTTTACGGCAGAGCGAGACATTTAGCAGCTATTATTGTTGTTGAAATATGAGCCATTATGGCGAGTTTGAATCGTACATATCACAGTGTGTCTCAGTACAAGAATGAATTCACATCCCAGCATGCCAAAGGTCGTGACTCAATAAACAACTGATGAGATTCCAGATAATGTCTTTAGTTATGTTTCTAGATTTTATTACTAGAAAATGTGATGTAGTAACGCAGGGTGCGAACTTAAGGTCAAGTGAAAGGTCAAGTACGCTGGCGTCTTGACCTTACTTCTACTTTCATGTAAATATACAGAATGAGCTGATTGTGACACTTACAGCCGCGGCCTCCTGCTATTTCCCCATACACACCGCTTTCCTCTGTGATTGTACCATGACCTAAATAGTTGTGCTAAGTAGACGAAGCACGCGCTGGGCCGGGATAAAGCTTAGAGAATAATGGGCTATCATAAACATGTTGGCCAGTAATCTACAGACTTATCAACATTCTCGTTGGAGCTTAGAATGGATCAGGAATTCCTCCTGCAGAGTTTTCTGTGCAGCGGCTCCAGGGACCCATATGAGAGACGAGGAACACATTACTATGCAGCATGTTGCCAGCACACAGGACGTTTTGTATTGCCATTGATTATGTATTTTTGTGGGATGGATGCGGGCGAGGGAGGGAAGCAGAAAAGTTCACTGCATTGACGGATTAGTTTTGCAGCTGTCTATTATGCAAATGTGATGGTCCCATGGTTGTGTGTTATTATGACTGCCTGCTTCGCTAACACACGTCCTCTTGCTGTTTGACACTACGCACTACGCATGCTGTCACGATTTAGGGGACTTTTTTCCTTGCCGCGTTACGCCGTTTTGCGCCAACGACGGATGGCGAGGGAAACTCTTCCACCTGCAATCTGTCACCCCTATAAAAGGAAAAGGCACATTTGCATATATAGTTTGCTTGTGTGGTTTATATTCACAGATGGGTATTTACTGAATGGGGACATTATTGAGAAGGGGTTTTGTTTTCCTCTTCAGCCGGCGTGTAAATGCTGGATTTGGGTGTCGCCGCTGCTGTGTCATGTAAACGCATGTGATCCGGTGACAGGTGATGCTCCAGCTGTCCCCAAGGCTCCCGCTGACCACAACAACACATGGGACGGTCAACGAGGGGGGGGGACTCCAACCCAGGGAAGTTTATTTTCTTCATCACCAGACAAAATATAGAAGATGTAATACAGCACACAAATGTTATGTGTACAAACCCTCTAGAATGGAAGAATACATGACATACACATTACATGTAATACATGGCTGCACCTGGTGATTCTATGTGATGTATGAATAGCTTCCATTTATAATTATTCATTTATTCATTTGTCTTTCCAATATTACAAAACCCAGAGATTTTCAATAATGTTATAAAAGACAGAAAAGTGGACAATCGCTCCATTTGGGGGGTGATATAAATGCTGAATTCTTCTCTCAAAGCGTTCAGATACAATGAATCCACCGAGACAGCTTTGACATTTGGTCTTTGAACTGTATTTCACACACGTTCACTCACTGCAGACTCGTTTGTGCCGCGCGGAGACAACAGTTCGGGAGGAGACGGAGCTCCTGTTCACACAGGAACACCCTTCCTGACCACCTTCCTGGCGTCCACCTGCGGCGGTTTGTTAGCAATCCGGCGCACTGCAACAGACACAGACGCACACAAGTGGGCGAACCGCGCGTACGCAGTTGCTTGTGCTGGTCGTCACCGAGCAAAGAGAAGGAGGGAACCATACTTGTCTTTAGCTGTGGCCAGAGAGCTACAGGGGAGATTCTAGTAACGGAAAACCAATAAAGAGCTGAAGCGAGTAAACACCTCAGTGACACCACTGAGTAAAAGTAGTCCTTAGCCAAAATGGGACAGTTTGCCCTGCAAAGTACAATAAATGTGTAACAGCTGGTGTGGTGCTCCGACTACGTCCAGTTTTTATACATTAGTTACAATTCAACATAAGATACGATGAAATGGCAAAAGATTATCTTCACCATCACTGGGGCAACATTTTCACCAGATACTAAAGTTGCAGCGCAAAAGGGCAAAAAAAAAATCTATCTAGTATTTAAACCAGAGCAGAAACAAACCCCCCAGAAAACGTTTTCTTTTGAGGCTTTAGAGAAGATAAGAATAGAGAACTACAGAGAAGAGAAGTGAACCGAGAAGAGGCATCTGCTGTAGCACACACACACGGTGGTCCGACGCGGCGTTTAACACTGCCACCTGTTGGAGAGCGATGAAGCCTGGAGGACAGCTTGGCGCTTCGTGCCATGTTCTACTATCACATAATCGCTGACAAATGGAGACGTGACATGCAAGAGAGAAATGAGATACGGGACGAGGTGGACTGAGGGAGCTTTGTGGTACCCGTGACATGTAATGAATAGAAGTTAGTTATTGTGAAGTGGTGCGGCTTATTCATCAGGGAAAACAAGGCCGCTATGTTCAATGAATGGGGAAGTTCTGGCTGCAGATTAGCTTCTATTGAACATACGGTGGCAAAAACCCAGTGACACCTTTACCTCCTTTGGGACTAAGGAATGGAAAGAAGGGAAGAGGAGAGAGTACGGAGGAAATAGAAAGAGAATAATGAAGAGTAGAGGAGATGGAGGTGCCGGGCTGCCAAAAGGAAAGACTACCAGCTCCAGGAATGTCTTGGCATCCGCGTGGGACTGTTCAACAAAACAAGACTCCCGTCGTGGAAATGCTCCCAATCGCACGACACTGTGGAGACATAGCCGGGACAGAAGGAGCGATAAGACGAGAGGAACAGCGTGGCACAGGTCGCCGTCCTCGCACGCCGCGGTGAATGTGTTTCCCACCACTGTGACCTCACAAGGCCGGCCGCTTTGACCCGAATTACGAAAGACGTTTTGACCGCATCGTTCCTTCTTTGTTGCGGTAACGTGAGTTTACACCAGCAGGACTCAAAGTTTCATTTCAGTTGCAAAATCAGTAATAAGAAGGTCAAATGACCAGCGGCAGCGGCTGCCAAACAAAAACCCTAAAATTAAGGTAAAATAACATTATTCGAATGAAGTGAATTTTTTTAACTTAATTAAAAAAAAACAGCTATTTTCCATAAAATTAGGATTTTTTTTTACAGTGTGGAAGGGAGCGATGTAATCCAACTGTGGCCTTTTGGGTCACAAAGCAAGGTAATAAATAAATAAAATATCCCTTATTTTCTGTTTGTTTCTCACTGACTGCTGTCAGTTTTCTTCTTCTATTTTTAACATTTGTATTTTTTAAATTTTTGCTTGTGCATTTTCTATCTTTTTTTTAGTATGTCAAAGAAGTCTGGGATGGTTTACTAACAATTTTTTTCTTATTTATTTTGCAAGAGTACCTGTAAAAGACGACTTTTACTTAGACCTAAACAGGCCCTAGAGACATAATTCAATAAAGAAAATACCCAAGTTACAAATCAATGATAGGGGCATATAATTAAAGGCCATCGTAGAGCGTATGTTTAGATCAAAAGATAGAAGAGAAGTAACTTTGCCCTTTGCTGCAATCTTTGTTCTTTCAATCACACTAATTTTATGAACTTGTTTCTAGTCACAGCTGGCATCTGTTTCCAGTCAAGTCATTCATCACCACAGTGGTACCAGACAACAGACCTTTACACATACATTTACCACAAACAAACACAAAAGACAAAAAATGCTGCTCTAAAGAAGCAAAGGTATTCCATTTAAACTCGGCTCCATTTCCTGTTTGTCAGCTGCTGTGTGTAACCGCCTGCAGGTCAAAGGTGCAGTTGTGGTTTTTCAACTGGCAACAGGAAGCAGAAAATCCAAATGTGGCACTGTGTGAGAAAAATCCTTGCAAAATAAAGCATTTTATTTCCCGGACAGAAACAGCATTGGGTCAGATCAGGTGGATTCCTCTCCCTCTCTCTGCTTGCTGCTTGTGTTTCACCTACACACACTCACGCTGCACACGCTTGCAACACAATGGTCGATGCAGAAAAAGCAGCAGGGTGTACAGGCCGGCCTCGCTGGTGGGCCAATGACAAGCTAGTATTACACAGAAGTCATCATTATCATCGCAGTGACAGGCCTGCATGAATGGACAATGGAGAGATCAGGGAGGGGAGGGGGGGGGAGTAAGTCATGTTTTTTTTTAAGCCCAAACAAAAATCAATTTGAAATCTGAAAAGGACACTGCTGGCTTTTGTCTCCGGGAGGGGAGG